GGTGTAATTTGATGAAGTTATAAGGAACGACTCGTATTTGCACTACTTCTTACCATCCACAAGCAAATGGCTTAATTGAGCGGTTCCATCGTCATTTAAAAGGAGCTTGCAAGCTCTGTCTCTCTCCCACTCATGGTCCGAAGTGTTACTACTTGTGCTTCTAGGTATCCGGACAGAAATCAAAGAGGATCTCCAATTCTCAACTGCCGAGTTGGTATATGGAACCACACTCCGTCTCCCTGGTGAGCTTATCTCCTTCTCCCGTCCTTACTCCTGATCACTCTGATTACATCACCAGACTTCTCTCTTTTATGGCTCAGTTAAAAGCCACACCTTGTACTCCTGGTGAACATCAAACCTTCATTCATCCCTCTCTCTCTACATCTACTCATGTTTTTCTTAGACGGGATTCAGTTAAACGACCATTACAATGTCCGTACAATAGTCCATACAAAGTTCTTAATCGTACTGACAAGTATTTCACTATAGACCTTCAGGGTAAACATGATAACGTCAGTATCAATCAATTAAAACTGGCCTATTTTGAGTCTCCTAATTCTGTGTCCTCTCATCATAACTCATCTACTCATTCTCCCACTGCTCTTTCTTCCTTAGACACTACACGCTCGGATACCAACGTTTTTCGTACAGGTCGGCGTGTCAGGTTTCCCTACGACTCAATCTATAGACAGGTATGTCAATTTATTATCATTATTATTGTTCTACCATGCCACCTTGCGATTGACCAATTAGATTGCAGTATGGAGGTCAATTATTTTTCATATTAACCTAGCACGTAAAAACATAAACTTATCTCGTTAAATAATTAATTGATTGGCAGCTTGGTACTCTACGCTTATGCTCTCGTTAGTCCATTTGTCAAGTTTGGTTGATTTTTTACTGGCCTAGCCTGTTAGATATGTTGTATGTATGTCAACTGCGGTCTTATTATCAGTAGCTGGTAGTTGTTTTTCAAGTGTCATGGTAGAAGTTGGTTATACACCTCGGTATCGGTTTCTATGGTATTTATTAACCTTGTGACTGCGTCGCTCGGTTAATAAATACCATAGAAACCTCTACCTCGGTGTATAACCTATACTTATCATTACTGTTATTAGTATTATTGTTATTATTAATTATTACTATTATTATTATGACCATTAAGGTTCGCAATCATTGAAACAGAATATATATATATATATATATATATATAATTGTACGATAGCTGATGCTGCATTCTTTTATAGGGACTTTGAAATACTGGCTGTCCGATCGCTCCTGATACAGTAGCACACAAATTGGCTCTTTTGTTTAATGTCACTTCTCTTCTCTTCAACTACACAGCATCACATACTGCGCATGCTCACAAAAATAATATTAATTAACACACATGATTAATAATAACATCATCATTTAATTCCCAACACACTCACCCGTTGACTAGTAGATAATACTAGTCAATTACAAAAATTAATTAATACATGTATCAATAATAACAGTAACTATAAATACCAAGTTACATGCATCAAATAATAATAATTAGTCCTATAACAACAAACATCTTACACACATCTCATGCTTACAGAACACAGAGTTAAAACAGATTGTACCAGAATATTGTCTTTTGCAGTAATAGCTGCAGCTCTCTTGGATCTCCTTTGACCAGATTCTTGGTTGTTGATCAGCATGGTTGGTTCATCGATATCATCGTTCTCGGCCACATCAATATCTTCAGTGGGATCTTGATCCTGATTGTCAGGAATTAGATTGTCATTCTCATTGACTTCTAGAGGGAATAACTTCTAAATAGGTCTCTTCAGCAACTTGGACCTTTTCTGTCCAGTAAAGACTCTAACCACAGCACTCCATATTTCTCCATCTGCACCAACAATAGTGTCCTAAATCTTTCCCAGATTCCAAAATCCTCATCGCTGTGGACAACTACAATATCTCCCACTCTTATCTTCCTCCCAGTAGACAGTAAGTTTCCTCTGAGCCTATGTGCTTCTCTAAGTTATGTCAAATACTCTCCCTTCCATCTGCTCCAGAACTGATCAATTGTACGATTGAGATACTTCATTCTCTTACTGAGAAGTTGTGGAGTAGCATTATAGTCTTCATCATCTCCATCGTAGCATAGTGTATCAGGAAAACTTAGTACTCTGCGTCCAATAAGAAGATGGGAAGGAGTCACTGGCTCTTCTAGATCATCCTGACTGACATAAGATAGTGGTTGCAAGTTCACAATCATCTCCACCTCAGTAACAACTGTCAGCAACTCCTCCCTTGTGAGTTTGGCTCTCCCCACAACCTTCCTAAGACACCTTTTGACTGAGCGGATGAGCCTCTAAAACACTCCACCACACCATGGGGCTCTTTGAACATTAAATGTCCACTGTATTACGTTCTCCTCCAGTCCCCACAACCTTCCTAAGACACCTTTTGACTGAGCGGATGAGCCTCTAAAACACTCCACCA